CTTTTATATTATATAAATTGTGTTTAGTAATAAATGGATAGGTTTGATTAAATTTAAAGTTTATTTGCTTCTTTTTAGAGCATTTCTTTAAATGATTGTGTTTAAAAATGTTTATATTTTAATTTCTTGTTGCCTAAGCAGAGTGATAGATGGACCACGGTCAGATGTAACGGCATTACTAATACCTAGTGTTTTAAGAAATTTCCATACATCAGCGGTCGAAGAGTTTGCAATATTACTACGGATATAACGGCGTTTAGCATTTCGTATCATCTGATTGCATCTGTTTCTTAGCACTCTGTAGCGATCCCAGCTGTCCTGTGTACGATGCTTCTTAAATTTCACAAATGCTCGATCTCGCCTAGTCATTGCCAACCTTAAGGCCTCAGTCATCCACGGGGCTGGTGAAGGCTTCACTCTTACTTGATGTTTGGGATCGTGTTTGTTGTACAGACCAAGAACTATATTATTAAGGATTGAGACTTTATCGTCGATACAAGTTGATTTAAATAAAGAGGTTAAGTCAATACGATAGGCGTCACTTTTAAGTTTATCAAAATCCATTCTAGAGAAATTACGAATGTATAGTACGACGGGATTAAGTTTAGGAGAAATCAACTCATATGTTATAGAAATAAGATCATGTCGTGAAAAAGCAGGAGCCGATAGTGGTCCGTGCTTTAATGACATAATCGGGAGAAGCCGTGATAATATGATCAATCCATGAGTCATCAGTGTCAATGTTGTGGTGAGTTGCCGCTAAGGGGAGAATTTGGAGATCGACTGACTCAATGATTGACCGAAATTTTTGAAACAATATTTAAAAAAATGAAAAAAAAACCAACAGCCGATAGGGAGAAAGGTTTTCGAGTTGCAGATATGTGCCGGAAAGCGAAGTGCACGGCTGCCCTGTACTAGATAGAGTGACAACTTGGTAAGGAATGAAAGGAATCAATAGATGCAGGTGGCTATAGACCATGCCATGTGGTATCCCGTTGGGTAGGCCTATGAACAACAATGGACCTGTGATAGGTTTTAATCAAGATGATAATGTTTTATTTACTCGTACATGAAAATACTTATGAGAAAAGATATCTTATGCACGCAGAACAGATGTCTCCAAATGATCTTCATAAACAAAGAAATAATTATAACGAGTGCTCAGTATTAAATTAATAAATCTTCGCAAAGAATAATATTGATTGAATATTTCGTAAAAGTATATGAAATTAATAAAAGTCTACGCCAGATTTTTATAACAAAGTCATATATTAATATAAAGGAATGTTATGAATTTTCCAGCAACCGTTTTCAAGGGCTATATGCCGCCATAAAATTCGTAGTAGTAGACCTTAAACCGAGGTCAAGGATGGCGGTCTTGCAGCAAAACGTTTCCAGGAAACGGAAACTAATTTCTAAATTGGGGGTCTTTCAGCGTGGCATGCTTCTCCGAAAAGGAAGATTCCTTCTGAACAGATGACTTATCCGAAGGACCATCCGATTTTCTAAAAAACATATTTAGCGGATTGCTAGATTAATATAATTTTAGAGAATTTGAATTTTTGTATGACAAATTTAAAAGAGAATGAAAGTGGGTTGAGAATAAATGAGTTACTCGTCAAATGTTTTCTTTATGCTGATGACCAAGTATTACTTGCGTCTTCGGCCGAGGAGTTGCAGGAGATGGTAACTGCTATGAGTGGAGCTTTTGTTAGAAAGGGAATGAAGATGAATGTAAAGAAGACGAAAGTGATGGTGTTTGAAAAAGATGAGGCAGTGACAGACTGCAACATCGTGATTGAAGATGAACAAATTGAACAGGTGAAAGAGTTTGTGTATCTGGGATCAAAGTTTACAAGAGATGGAAAGTGTGAGAGTGATATCGAAAGAAGAGTGAATGCAGGAAACATGGTGAATGGAGCTTTGTACTCCTTTATGAGCAGTCGGAAAGTGTCTAACAAGGCTCGTTTGGCTGTGCATGAGGGGGTGTTGGTTCCGACACTCATGTACGGAAGTGAAAGTTGGGTATGGCAGAAGAAACATGAAAGTAGAATAAATGCAGTTGAGATGAGAGCATTAAGAAGTATGATAGGAGTTAAACTGAGTGACAGGATAAGAAATAGTGAGATAAGGAAACGTTGTGGTCTGAAAGAAGATGTAATGACGAAAATTGAGAAAGGTATGCTGAGAAGGTTTGGCCACATCGAGAGAATGAATGAAGAACGATTGACGAAAAAAGTGTATAAGGCGAGTGTGAATGGAAGTGCTGGACCTAGGCAGACTTTTCTAGACCAAATTAGGGACGTCTTGAAAAAAAGGCCAGGTTAAGAGTACCCTAAACCGTAGAGCATGTATGAAGGGAATAATGAAAGTAGACGAAGCGAAACAAGTATGTAAGGATCGTAGCAAGTGGAAAGAAGTGGTCTCTGCCTACCCCTACGGGAAAGAGGCGTAATTATATGTATGTATGTATGTAGAATTTGAAATGAAAATTGAATACAAAAGTGACTTCGGAAAGCTCCTCCGAAACGGAAGCCCGAAGGTCTATCTAATTGAATATTTCGAAGATTTTCCGTATGCGCTAACAAAATCTGGGGTTCCTTCACTGCCTGGGCGTCTGACTTATTTAGCAGCACCTTTTTAAAATTAAGAGGGCCACTGTCTGTTTACAGGCTGAGGCTTTTCATCGAACTAACCTACCCAAAGTGTTGACGACGCTTCGGTAGTTTTCTATGTTTGAAGACTTATTTATGTAGTAATAAACGATGATGATAAAGATGGTGATGATATTAATGATGATTTCATGACTCGTGAACAAGCTTCGTAATTATGTATACACGAATTTGAGCGGCACAGCCATCGACACCTACGGCTTAACTCGCTTCGAAAAATGAAAGTTTGAGGTTGGTACAGATGCTACGATATTAATAACTGAAAGTGGGTATTTGCTCAAATTTACGGGTTTATAAGATAAAATAATTTATCTCGTCGTCAATCAAGAAGACGAAATAACCCCTCCCCTCAACACAGGTCAGATTAATGAGACTGTTAAAGAAAAAACCAAATAAATCTCCGAAAACTTAAACTTTTTTATTATCCTTATAAATGATATTTTTACCAAGCTATTTACAATTTCTTAAATGTCTGAGCCGCGGAATCGTGTACTTAATGAAGAAAAATTCATAAAGTTTCGTGATATTTCAGATCTTAAAATAATGAGATATTAGCCCTTAAAAATGAGATGTAATATGATCCAACAATTTAAAAGAAAATGGAGAACACTACATCGCTCAGGGTTTTGTTAAAAGATCTCAATAAACATTAATTACCTGTGACATTCATTCACTTCAATAAAGTGGATATTGTTGCGGCGTCACTACACCCCATCTCATTGTGACGGCCCCATTAGAAAAGATATATTAAACAATAAAAATACATTATTATTAAGCATAAAGTTAAAATAAATACATTTCAGACATTAATATATATTTATATTATATAGTATTATAGTAAATTAAATACTTAATATTATCTTTCAAAATCAATAAATTCATTAAAAATTTTGTTAAAATAATCAAAATGTGATAAATAATAGAAATACAAGTCGAAAATACTATGAAAATAAAGACAAATAATATTTATAAAATAATTGGAAAATTGGTTTAAAATTGCATGTCATGGAGGGAATTTCTGTATAAAAAAATTCGAAGTAGTTGAGCATTTTTTTATAGGATAGGGTAACAAACGAGCACACAGTCCACCTGATGGTAAGTGGTTGCTGTGGCCCATAGACATCTATATTTATCTTCGATTACGAATCAAAATGCAGATGCGTTGTCACCCGTGAGGACTTAGATGGAATGCTTCATTTCCAGTAAAAAAAATCTCCGTTTCTCTACACTCACCATACGAAACACAGCAGCATCAAGCTACCATTTCACGCTGGTATTTTGTGAGAGCGTGATCCTTCCCCGGTCGAGCCGAGCCATTCATGCTACAACTATACTACTAATATAACTGCAGCATGGCTCTACCACGTACAAGCATGTTCATGTTTAGGAAAATTTCTAAAGTTATGGAGGGTGTTCGTGTGTAGATTGCTTTTATGGGGGAGCCGCCGGAAACGCATACCCAAGAGTGTAAATATATGGGGTGGTCGCGTGACCGACTACTTGTTTCGCAATATATAGTCAGTCCTATATTAATGATTTATGACAGTAAGGTCTATTACACTAAAACATTATTATAGAAGGTCTCTATGATGTATAAGCATTACAATACTAGAGTTGTGGGTTGAAACCCCATATATTAAAGACTGATAGTAAGGTCTATGAAATAAAGCAGATATGTGGAAGGTCTCAAATAGGTAAAAGCATTACACTAATAAAAATGAGACTTGAAAGAAATTATTATAGTCGCGTGTATACTGCATCAAAAGCGACCAAGACCGAAGTAAACTTGGACTTGCTAACCGATGTGTCCTAGGCGTATTATCTGTGCCGGAGGTAAGTGGGTTTGTTGTAGCAATATGACTTTCCTGTGGACATCGCACACCCATACCATACCCGACATTGTGGTCGGTTTCTTAGCGTATAGTACGTCGTCTATCTTTCTGATTGGGATGAATGTGTTTGGTTGGACTTTTAATTGTAATAAGCATACTTGACTTCATGTCTTTGTGTCTTTGTGTTTCGGTGCATACTCGCTATTGTACGTGGAGTTTTGTCCACTGACGTCTTAGTAGCATGCTATTATGATACGTTGATGTTATTGTTAGTTAACAACAATAATAATTTTGTTGCCAAAGTACAGTCGGGGCTCATATTATTAGAGCCACAGTAAAAAAGTAGATCAATTTTAGTTTAGGTAGAAATAAAATCAGGATGTGAAGGTTTTTTGTTTAGAATATATTTTATTAAGTATATTGCTTTATTAATACATTTAAGAAAACGGAACTTATGTATTTAATAAGTGCAATAAATATAAACATATAAATTAAATCAGTATTTAGTGACACCGCCTTTTGCTTCTATAACCGCCTGAATTCTCCTGGGCATACTTTCGATACATTTTATCTTAATTGATTCACTCCGGTGCCAAACATCTATCAAACGCTCGATCAGTTGGCGTTTATTAGTGATGAGTTCTCTGGAAATTTCTCGTTTCATCAACTCCCAGAGTTTCTCTATGGGATTGAGGTCCGGCGAATTCCCAGGCCAGTCAAGAACTTTTACTTTCTGGGCATTTAAAAATTTCGTGACCTTTTTTTCTTTGCGGCAAGGAGCAGAGTCATGCATGAACGTAAATTCGCCGTTCGGAAACCACTCCTGGACCTGTGGCAGCATTTTTGTCTCAAGGACCTGGATATATTGATCCTGCCGCATCGTTCCCTCCACAATGTATAGACGACCAGTGCCTTTGCTGCTTATTATGGACCATACCATGATGCTGAATGGGTGCTTCACTCGCTTGATTATGCAATCTTCTTTGAATTTCTCACCCTTCTTTCTTCTTACAAATACGGTTTTGTCCGACAAAATTTGCACTGACGATTCATCAGAAAAACAAACCTGAAATATTTATTATTATTTTAGTGTAGAGAAATCAAAATTTAAATTTAATTTAAATTAATGTGGATCTAGCTCTTTACTTCCAGCAGCTTCAAGAATTATTCACCTACCTTATTCCAGTCTTCAGCAGTCCAGTTCTGGTGTTCTTTTGCCCATTGTAAACGCTTTGACATCATAGCCTGTGTAAGAAGAGTTTTTTTAGCCGGTCGACGACAAATGAACCCCAAGTCTTTCATGCGTCGACGAACTGTTGCTAGGGAAATGTTGATTCCAGCGTCCTGTACCTTCTTCGTAAGAATCTTCCGAGGTGCCTTCCTGTTTTCAACACAGATATCCCTGATTTTTCTTTCATCACGTGGCGTGGTAATTTTCTTTCGTCCACAATTTTTCGCACGTTTCGGCGTCAGGTCCACATTTGTGTCAAGTTTTTTTTTTATTCGGTCAACTGATGCCCTCGAAACATTAGCAATCGATGCAATCTTTCTTTGGGAATGCCCAGTATGCAATAATAAAGTTTTAATTTCGGAAATTTTCCTTGGAGACAGATCTTTAGCTTTTCCCATGATTAAAATATAACCTCCTTTCCTGCAAATAAAATAACAAAATTTATGTTAAAATGATTTCTTTTAGCAACAAACATATTTAAGCAAGCTGCATATGGACAAACATTGTTAAAACACACCAACACTACAAAAAAATTGATAGAAATGCATAAATAATCTCCAAAATACTCACCCGGACAACGAAACTGTTAAGCGTCGACTGACTGTGTTACAACAAAATGGCGACCATGTGACAGATTATCCACTCTTTAGTGTTGCCAGTTAAAAATTCATAATCTACACAGATCCATAAATTCATAATAACAAAATATAAACTTAGCAGACATAGTTTGAATGCAATATATATTGATTAAAATGCCAAATCGATTATTTAAGTAGATGGCTCTAATAATATGAGCCGCCACTGTAGATAGAGATCATGTGGGTGTATTGTGAGGGGGCGCCATCCGTATGGTAGTTGTATTGATGCTTACTGCTACTTGTGTTATTGCGTCTCGTGAAGGATATGCTGGTGTACGGCGCCTGATTCAACACATTCTTGTGGTTCTGGTTGTTGGAGGGTGGAGATGTCTGCTGGGATGTATGGGGGACCTTAGGATGGTGTAAGCCTGACGATAGTAGTATGGATACTTGTAGCGTTCTGCAGTATTGCGTCTCTTCGATGGTTGTTTGGTGAGTCGCTACTCTCAATGGCACTCTGTGCGTCTTGGTTATATCTATTATAATTTCCTATTGGCTATATCTGCCATTGTATTTGTTGGTGGAGCAAAAGTGTCGATCTCAAGCGGGTGGTAGCAGGAGGAAGGATCTGAGGAGACTCTCAAGGCTGCCGAGAGCCGCATAATGTAGGACCCCATTCCCTTGAGGTGAGCGGTAGACTCATGCCACGCTTTGCGGCTAGTAGCCGTGCTGATCATGCAATCGGTGGCGACTGTGGGATCCAAAGGAGAAGTAGAAATAAAGTGATGATTTCGTTCTACGACAATAGCTTCCATTCAATCAATTCCATCTCCTCCTATTCCTTTTTTTCACTTCTTACCTGTGACTGAGGATGAGATACAGAAATTTGTACTAGATATTAAATCCAAGGCTGTGGGCTGCGATGAGGTTAGTAAGGTTATGGTATCCATGATCCTTGAGTGGCTTTTGCCTGCAATCACACATATCATAAACTATTCCCTTTACTCAGGTCAATATCCTACTTAGTGGAAAAAAGCATTTGTGCGACCACTTCCTAAAATACCTAATCCCGCATTACCTACCCATTTCTGACCAATTTCAATATTGCCATACCTAACTAAAGTTCTCGAAGCCTGTGTTCACAAGCAAATCTCTATGTTCATAACCAAACACAATCTGCTGAATAAATATCAGTCAGGTTTTCGTGCAGGTCACAGTACTACCACTGCATTGATAAAAGTTACAGATGATATTAGAATGGGAATGGATGAGCAAAAGCTTACGGTGGTAGTGCTTGTTGACTTTTCAAATGCTTTTAACATAGTCGACCACGATATCCTTATAGCCTTTCTAACTAATCTTAGATTCTCAATCCCAGCTTTGGAATGGTTTTCATCCTTTCTCGCGGCCGCCAGCAATCAGTACGATTAGGAAAAGAGTTCTCAAGATGGGTTGACATTGAAACAGGTGTGCCGCAAGGCGGAATACTTTCTCCTTTAATGTTTTCTTCATTCATAAATTCTATCACTTCAGTTCTCAACTGTTCGTACCATCTGTATGCAGATGATCTTCAGCTCTATGTGCAATCTAGTGTTAATGACCTTAATTATAATATTCATAAACTCAACCACAACCTCGATGCCATTAGAGATTGGTCGTACAGACATGGTGTTTTGGTTAACCCAACCAAATGCAAAGCAATGGTTATAGGTAGTAGCAGAATGTTAGCTAAGATTAATAACGATAACTTTGCTCCCGTATTTTACAATGGCACGTTGTTGCCATTTTGTAAGTCTGTCAAAAAACTTGGCTTACATATAGACCATACCTTAAGCTGGGAAGTTCAAGTTGCCGAAACAAGCTGCCTTTTCTTTGTTTTTTTTTTCTTCCCTTGGGTTTTTTCCCCTAATTCTTAATTGCTTTTTTGCTTACGTAGTATGACCATATTTCCCAGTACAGATCTAAGCTTAAATGGCTATCTATTCGTCAAAGGCGTAGCTCCCGAAATTTGCAAGTACTACATTCAATTTTAAATGACCCCAATTCTCCCTCTTATCTTAAGGATAACTTTCAATATTTGTATTCTACTAACGATAGAGTTCCCCGTTCCAAAAATTGTCTTAAAATTCGTATTCCACCACATAGGAGTGGTTTCTATAAGTCCTCTTTTACTGTGCAGTCTATACTGCTCTGGAATGCCTTGCCTGTTTATATCAATAAAACTAATAACAAGAATTATTTTAAAAGACTAGTTCGAGAATTCTGTCGTAAGAATAATACCACCTGACTATCCGACTATTGTTTTTGTGTTTTTTTTTTCTCTTTCACTTTATAAGTAATATTTTGTATAATGTATTTTAATATGTATTGTGTTATTTTATTTTTGTCTCATAATATTTTATTTACTTATAGTTTTGTATAGAAGAACCCGTTTATATATTTATTATTTATCCTATATTATATATTAAGTAAGTATGTATATTTTACTAACTATATATCTATTCTATTCATTTGCATTTTATTTTGTTTTATATCATTATTATTTATTTATGAAGTGATTGATTACACCTGCCACAGTTTCTCAAATCATCCAGGGTTGACTGGCAGAGAATGCCATGAGGCATTAAGTCCGCCCTTTATATCCCTTAGTATATAAGGTGTATAATGAAAATTAAATAAATAAATTAAATAAATAGGTTTTGATCTTTCTAAAGGATTAGTAATAGGCCGTTTGTAATATTTTTGGTGTGATCGTCTTAGTTAGGACCCTTATTTAGGTTATTGTATTTGTTTAGTAACTTAGTTCTTTTACGTTACTTTTGGAAGAATAAATATTCACTAGAGCCATTGAAAGTCGTTGGTAGTGCCTTATAAGATAAGTGAATCTCGTTCACGAAGACAGGTTTTGAGAAAGGTTAAGAACATTAAAACGTCCCTATTCCATTTTTATCAGATTTACATTATTTATTTATTACTAATTATCCCTTCCTGCTCGAAAATGCTCACTATATGTATATATATAAAAATACCTTTTACAAGGGTTTCCCTCTCTAATATTTATTTAAAAAAATGTGGGGAAGGCACACGGCTCCAAGCACGCCGTGCGCTGTGAGTGCCAACCATTTAATGCGCTCTTGCCGAAGAAAATGTTAAGTTGGGAACTGGACCTTAATCCACAGCAAAATAACTGGCAAATCAGTAAAAGGGGGCTTAGTCCCTTGGCAGTGTGTAAGCACAAACATCGAACGAAGTTGTGCATGTTAATGCATGTAAACCCCATACAGAATACGAAAAAATCCAGTCACAGTGAATGTACACACTGGTCATAAACCCTCCGTGAGCTTCACTAGCTGCCAGACCGCCGGTCCTGCAGACGTGATGGAAGTGTATGGTATCAGTTGTGGCGTCTATGAATACATCGCCTTCGCTGAGATCGTGCTCCCACTCAATCAGAAAGGGATATTTTGATGTACGTACTGACGTTGAGTATATGCATTTTTGATCATGTTCATCTCACCCACCAACAAGTTGTCTTCAATCATTCAAAGGTGTGAAAGTTACAGAGATATATTATTATGTTGTTACATAAAACATTATGGAGGTTAGACAGTCTGCAGCCCCGTAATGAAGGGACCCGATTTGGCCAAAGCTACTTAGGTGTGAGTCAAATCAAGACGCACAGAGTGCCATTGAGAATAGCGACTCGCCAAACAACCATCGCAGAGACGCAATACTGCAGAACGCTACAAGCATCCATACGACTATCGTCAGGCTTACACCATCCTAAGGTCCCCCATACATCCCAGCAGACATCACCACCCTCCAACAACCAGAACCACAAGAATGTGTTGAATCAGGCGCCGCACACCAGCATATCCATCACGAGACGCAATAACACGAGTAGCAGTAAGCATCAATGCAACTACCATACGGATGGCGCCACCTCACAAAACACCCACATGATCTCTATCTACTTTGGCAACAAAATTAGTATTGGTGTTAACTAACAATAACGTCAACGTATCATAATAGCATGCTACTAAGACGCCAGTGGACAAACTCCACGTACAATAGCGCGTATGCACTGAAACACAAAGACACAAAGACATGAAGTCAAGTATGCTTATTACAATTAAAAGTCCCACCAAACACAGTCATCCCAATCAGAAAGATAGACGACGTACTATACGCTATGAAGCCGACCACAAACGGTATGGGTGTGCTATGTCCACAGGAAAGCCATATTGCTACAACAAACCCACTTACCTCCGGCACAGATAATATGCCTAGGACACATCGGTTAGCAAGTCCAAGTTTACCTCGGTCTTGGTCGCTTTTGATGCAGTATACACGCGACTATAATAATTTCTTTCAAGTCTCATTTTTATTATTGTAATGCTTTTACGTATTTGAGACCTTCCACATATCTGCTTTATTTCATAGATCTTACTATCAGTCTTTAATATATGGGGCTTCAACCCACAACTCTAGTATTGTAATGCTTATACATCATAGAGACCTTCTATAATAATGCTTTAGTATAATAGACCTTATTGTCATAAATCATTAATATAGGACTGACTATATATTGCGAAAAAGTAGTCGGTCACTCGACCACCCCATATATTTACACTCTTGGGTATGCGTCTCCGGCGGCTCCCCCTTAAAAGCAATCTACACACGAACACCCTCCATAACTTTAGAAATTTTCCTAAACATGAACATGCTTGTACGTGGTAGAGCCATGCCGCAGTTATATTAGTAGTATAGTTGTAGCATGAATGGCTCGGCTCGACCGGGGAAGGACCACGCTCTCACAA